AGTTTGATAGACATTTTTGCCTATTACCTATACACTGGACACATCAAAGCAAATACTCAAAACTTTGTCTTTGGTTTTGTGAGACAGGGTCTTGCCAATGTAGCCTAGGCTGGTCTGGAATTTACAGCTTCCCTAATAATGAGATTGCAGGTATGCACCATATTATGCCTTGCTTCATATTTGTTTTTTTTAAACTATTTTAAAAAATAGGTTAGCTGTTTACTTCATTTCCAAATGCATTAAAATATCCTTCAGTGATTGATTTAATTACTCATTTGCCCATGGCAATCATACTCAAAAAGAAGCCTACAGTATTATTTGCTTTGCTTCCTTACAAACATGGAAGTCCTATCAAAATAAAGGTATAAAATACCTGTGTTGTTAAACAGGCAAAACAGCACCCTTCACAGGGAAATAAAGGACGGATGACAGCCATCCATCAGACCTATTTCCTAAGTGATGAATGAGTGAGTGAGATGACAAGCTGATCATCTAGGGACCAAAACCCAGAATCAGTGACCTCCCAGTTCAACCTCTATCCATGACATCAACATTATTGTGATAGCAAAGAACTTGGGATGTCACCATGTCCCCCTACCTGCTTCAACAAAACTGATAAATTCCAAGAGCAATGACATTCTTTCACAGCTGCTAGCCATGAATACTCTCTTGAATTCATCCAGCTCCCTTTGTCTCAAGAACACATAATTTCAATATCCTTCCTCATTTAGACTCACATAGCCACCCCGTGCAGGAGGATTAGAGTCTGCAGGTGTGCAAAGTAAGGCAGAGAAAGTCATAATATACAGTCTTCCAATCTTGTAGTGCTGTTCTTGCTTCCTTAAACCATGTTTGCACCTCTTCTTATAGTACTTATACTATGCATTATGTTTTCTTTAATAGGTGTGAAATGGGGCATGATATCACTTATTTTATAGAACTGCTATGAGGATCAAATAAATTGCTGCATTAAAAAAAAACCAACATGGGGCTAGGAAGGTGGCTCAGTGGTAGAGTGCTTGCCTTGCATGCACAAGGTCCTGGGTTCGATTCCTCAGCAACACATAAGCAGAAAAAAGCCAGAAGTGATGCCGTGGCTCAAGTGGTAGAAGCACTAGCCTTGAGCTGAAGAGCTGAGGGACAGCACCCAGGCCCAAAGTTCAGGCCCCACGACAGACAGAAAAATAAATTAAAAAAATAAATTTTTAAAAAAAACTCCAAAAAAAGCCGGGCGCTGGTGGCCCACGCCTGTAATCCTAGCTACTCAGGAGGCTGAGATCTGAGGATCGCGGTTCAAAGCCAACCCAGGCAGGAGAGACTGTGAGACTCCTATCTCCAATAAACCACCAGAAAACCGGAAGTGGCGCTGTAGCTCAAGTGGTAGAGCGCTCGCCTTGAGCTGAAGAGCTGAGGGACAGCACCCAGGCCCAGAGTTCAAGCCCCAAGACTGACAAAAAAAAAGAAAAAATAGGCTGTGCATTGGTGGTTCATGCCTATAATTCTAGCCTCCTAAGTACAGGAGGATGATACCTGAGGATTTTGATTCAAAGCCAGACTGAGCAGGAAAATCCATACAACTCTTAAGCCAGACTGGGCAGAAAGTCCACAAGATTCTTATCTCCAATTAGCTGCCCCCCCCAAAAAAGGGCAGAAGTGGAGCTGTGGCTCAAGTGAGAGTGTTAGTCTTAAGCAAAAGAGCTCCAGGACAGCATCCAGGCCCTATGTTCAAGCCCCAGGATACATATACATGCATATATGCATACATACATACACACACACAGACACACACACACAAATAATGAATAAAAAGGGTATCATCGGCTAGGTGTCAGTGGCTCACGCCTGAAATCCTAGCTACTCAGGAGGCTGAGATCTGAGGATCACGGTTCAAAGCCAGCCAGGGCAGGAAAGTCAGTGAGACTCTCATCTCCAATAAACCACTAGAAAACCAGAAGTGGCACTGTGGCTCAAGTGCTAGAGCACTTGCATTGAGCTGAAGAGCTAAGGGCAGTGCCCAGGCTCAGAGTTCAAGCCCCTCAACTGACCCCTCCCCCCCCAAAAAAAAAGTGTATCATCAAGCCGGGCGCTGGTTGCCCATGCCTCAGAAGGCTGAGCTCTGAGGATCATGCTTCGAAGCCAACCTGTGGAAGAAAGTCTGAAAGATTCTTTATCTCCAATCAACTACAAGCTGGTATGGGAGCTGTGTGGCTCAAGTGGTAGAGTGCTAGCCTTAAGCACTAAGAAGCTCAGGGACAGCACACAGGCCCTGAGTTCAAGCCCCAAGACTGGCAAAAAAAAAAAAGTGCATCAACAGTAACTATTTAAAAGTATACTTTCTGGGTGTTGGTGGCTCATACCCTGCTATCTAGCTACTCAGGAGTACGAGATCTGAGGATTGTGGTTCACCTCCAATTAAGCAGGGGGAAAAAAAAGGCCAGAACTGGAACTGTGCTCAAGTGGTAGAGTGCTAGCCTTGAGCAAAATAAAAGCTCATAGACAGTGTCTAGGCCCAGAGTTCAAGTCCCAGGATCCCAAGACTGGCACCAAAACAATTTAAAAAATTACATATATAATTATATGTTGCATATAACTATATTGTACATGATTATAATACACACATACATATATAATACATACTATATATAATACATATTTTTACTCAAAATTGCAAAAATGTCAAAGGAATATTGAGCCCAAAGCATCTGACTATGTTTTCTATGGGAATGTAATGTAATGCCTTGTCAATGAGGTCTATGAGGAGTTTAACCACCTCCTCTTTCTTATGCCTTCATCAGTCCAATGTTAGGTTGCAAATCTGACCAGATTCTTCAAGCTTTACTGCCATCATTATTAATCCGTTGCTGAGTCCAATTAATTCCAGACACACATATTTGTTCTTTTCTCTCTGTAAGCACATTAGGATATCTTTCTCAATTTTTTTTGTCTTTTCTTTTCTTGATATTGGGGATTAATTCCAGGATGCTGCACTTGTTAGGCAAATATTTTGTCACTGAGCTACAACCCAACCCAATTATTTTAACAGCCACTGACACCAGTCTTCATAATTTACACTCCTTATCCCTCTTCAACCTATGCTTCACTTCCTACCTGATTTTTTTTTTTTTTTTGCTTGAACTCTGGACCTCGAGCTCTAGCTCAGCTTTTTCACTCACTACTGACTTGAGCCAGGCTTCCACTCCCAGCTTTTTGCTGGCTAAGTAGAGATGAGAGTGGTGTGGGTTTGTCTGCTTGGGCTGACTTCAGATAACATTTCTCAGACCTCAGTCTCCTGAATAACAAGGATTATAGGTCTGAGCCACTAAGGCTTGGCTCCTAAATGACAATTCTTATTTTACTCTGCTATGAAAACAAATTTAATGCTAGGTCACAAGACCTATACACATGAAAGAAGAGAAAAGAAAGAGCTACTGGTTCTATGGCAGCATTTCTCTTGCCATCTTAAGCAAATGTCACTTTTCTAAGTTCCTAATAATTTCTTGATCTGAGAAAAATAATAGATGATCGTCTCATAGGCATTTAAGACGAAATAAAGCAAAGCAATGCAAGTAAAACATTCAACATAATGCCTGTAAAGTTTTATTTTTGCCCTCCTACCCACTCCTGCCTCAAGTCTTTCGTTCTAATATCTTCCATTTCTCCCCTACCACCTCACTTACAGGATAAAGTCTAAACTGCTTGGTCTGGTCTTGTGAAAGTTAGTTCCAAGTCTAGCTACTTCAGCCCAATGTATCTCTTCAGGCCCAGTGCCACCACCAACATTAGGGTCACAACAAACAGCATTTGGCTTGTTAAACACACAAGATTCTACCAAATCTCCACCAAGACTCCTGGCTATTGAGCTTTTGCCTTTATTACAATACTTTAAAAGCAGACAGGGATTCGTGTTCTAACTCTACCACCCATTAAGCTATGTGACCTTGGGCAAATCACTTGGACTCTCGGGGCCTGTTTTTGCTCTACAACATGGAAAGATGAACGATATCCTTGCTAGAAGGATTTGATGAATTGATGATGGGCTCCCAATAATGATCAGCATCCTGTCTGGCCCGCTGGTCTGCCTTTAGAAATGGCTTGATCATGCTAGCGATATAGTCAATCATCTGTCTTTACTTCGTTTTCCAGAGCACTAACTACACTGTATTTCGGCTACCTGCATCCCCCTATTATATTATAAACTCGATGGAAGCAGGGATTTCATCTCATTTTCTGCGTATTCAACACAACTATGCAAGTATCTCTTGGGTAAATGAATGCTTTAAAAGCAACCAGCTGACAAGCACCCAAGCTGTTTGCAAGTTCTAGACCCATCGCGTTTTCCAGAGGCTCCCTAGCTGCACTCTCAAGCGCTGTCCACCGACAAGATGAGCACCTGGGGGCGGGACAATCACCTCACACAGAGGTTTCCGCGACAGAAATTAAATGGTTGATACTTAAAATTAAAAATCATCATCCTCGTCGTTATTCGCAGAAGCAGGTGGCTTGGACAGTGGAATTAGGACTGGGGAGATTACCGGCACGGTTTAGGGGACCATCGGGGGTCGACGTGTGAAGGGGAGCGGGAGGGACGCAGGCCGGGGGTCCGCAGAACTATGCACGCTGGGCCCAAGCCTAGGAAGCTGCAACCCCGCGTCCCGCTCGCCGGTCCTCCGGACGAATCTCACCTCATCCACGTCCAGCTCATCCAAAGTGGGCACCTCCACTATTCCCGGCATGGCGGCGGTAGCCTCTGCCCTGACCGAGCGCCCTCAGCCGCGTCGGCCCCCGCGTCTCCTTGAACTCCCCTTTGCCCCGCCGGGATGGCCCCCCCACACACCCACTACGCATGCGCAGCCAGCGGCACGCAGGCGCACGGCTTTTCCCAGCCGCAGTGACGACAGAGCGTGCGCGACACCCGGAAGTTCTGCGCCCCCGCGGGGGCGTGGCTTCTCATAGGCCCCGCCCAACCCTCCCGGTTGTCATAGTGAGGCGGTATCCACCGATATTGGGGGTCCGAAAGGCTAGAAGCCGGCGCTATGCAGTACACCGGGAGCCAGTATATCGGGGAGTATGTAGACGGGAGGTAAGGGCTTCTTTAGCTCACGGTGTCTGGAATAACTGGTGCCGTTTTTGCCTCTGTGACTTTATACCCGGTACTTGCACAAAGTGGTACGAGTAACTTGCTCAATTAGAAGCAAAGCTAGATTCATTCATTCCATGTATGGGTGTGTTTGTGTTGGACATCTGCTTGGTTTTTTATTTTATTATTATTATAAAGGTAATGTACAGAGGGGTACTTTATAAGTGAGGTAAAGAGTACATTTCTTTTTGGACAGTGTCACCCCTTTCCTCCTTCTCTGCCAGTTTTTCCCTCCCATCCCCACCATAAGTTCTGTAGTTCATTTTCCATAGTGTCTAGTGTGTACTAGACATTTGTTCTGCATTTGTTCACCCTTTGCCCCTCCATGAACAAGGCAAAAGAAAACAAAACAAACAAACAAACAAAAAACCTCTTGGAGCCATCTGCCAGTTTTATGAGCTGAGCCCCCAAGACTCAAGCCTGTACTCCTAGCTACTCAGGAGGTCACATTCTGTGGATACGAGTTTATTTTTCTGTTGCCTTTTTTTTGTTTTTGGTCGGTCGTGGGGCTTGAACTCTGGGCTTGGGCACTGTCCCTCAGCTCTTCAGCTCAAGGCAAGCGCTCTACCGCTTGAGCCACAGCGCCACTTCCTGGATACTAGTTTAAAGCCAGCCCGGGGCATGCAAATCCAAGAGACTTATCTCCAGTTAATCAGCAAAATGCCAGAAGGGATGGTATGGCTCAAGTGGTAGAGCACTAGCCTTGAGTGAAAAAGCCAAGCAAGAATGTAAGTCCCTGAGTTCAAGCCCCAGTCTCAGCACCAAAAAAATTACTAACAATATCAGAAATCTACTGTTATGAAATATATATTGTAGTTGAGGTTACATTAACAAACAAATGAGAAGATGCTGTCACATCACTAAAAAGGCTATAATAAATATTCAGATTGAGGAAGAGTGATTGACAATCTGGGTCCAATATACAGATGTCCCCCAGAATCTACTGAGGACTGGTGCCAGGACCCAGGCAGATTACCTTCCTGTTGACAATTACACATAGGAAATGGAAAATAGTTGGAGGGGGGAATTGATTCTTTACTTAACATACACAGGTTTCATTTGGTCATTATGCCCCCTAAACAATACAATGTAACAAATACTTATGTACCATTGACATTCTGTTAGGTTATTATAAATAATCCAGGGCCAAGTACATAAGAATGCAAATACTATCATTTTATATCAGAGATTTGAGTATGTGCAAATTTTTCAGTCATGATTGGTTGAATCCACAGATACAGACCTTGTGGGTTCAGAACTCCAACTGTGTGTAGTCTTCTCACAAGAGTTCATAATTTATGGATTATTGCAATTATGCACACAAATCATTCTGATAGACTAATAGTAAAAGCTATTCAACAAATACTGATTGGCCTCCAACTATCTCAGACCTTGGACTTGACCCTGGCTATTGTCTCTGCCTCCAAAAACACAACTCATTCAAATAAAACGGGGCAAGTGGGCATAACATAGGTAACTGCAATTCATTGTGGTTGGTGCTGTAGAAGAGAGCAGGGGTCAGATGGATATGATGGCACAGCACTTGGGAGGCTAAGGGAGGAGGATCATGAGTTTGAGGTGAGCCTGGGCTCCGTAGTTAACCTCTGTCTCAAAAGAAAGACACAGAGACAAAAGAAAAAGATAGATAGATAGAAAGAAAGAAACACATAGGTGGCTGTTCTTCTTTGATAACAACACTAAATGAACAAAGTGAAGTCTGTTTTATTGTTGGAGAAGCTAAAGCCGAGTCAGGAGAAGTAGATCACCAAATAAGTATTGGTTGGGAATGTAATGCACGCTCATCTTGGAATCCATGCTCTGTACACACAGGTTAGTGTAATTCCAAGGTATTTATAGTTCGAATGTAGAAGGTCTGGCCAGTGATAGGGGAAAGATTTGTGGAGAAACTATTAGTATTTATGGAATACAATCGCTAATCCTTAAACAACCTTATAAGGAAATGTTATTAGCTCCAACTACTATGAGTAGTTCAGGCTAATCTTACAAATAAAGGCCTGAAATTAAGCAAAATGACCTGCTCACCATTACTAAACACATAGGTAGAAGTAATAGAACCAAAATTTAAATCCAATTCTATATTCAAATTACATTATTTCTCTTCACGTTGCCCTACAGAGCAAGAGTGGTTGGGTTTTGTCAGAGAGGAGAGCACACAACTGTAAGAATCTAGATTTCAGTAGCCTATGTATGAGAAAGACAGATGAGAGAAATAGAGACAGAGAGAGAAGTCCTCTACAAATTTATTTAACTGTTTATTCCTTAATCATTGCCGTGGCTTTTGTTCCCAAGAACTTGTTTTGTTTGGGACTTTTGGTAGCATTGTAACTTTAGAAAACATCAGTACCACTATAATTTTTTTCCTTTTAGAAAATGGAATCGCTTGTCTGTATAGAAGGAAGTTGATTTTTAATTAGATTCATCACTGCTGGTAAGAATGTAAAATGATAAAACTGCTTTGGAAAAGTTTAGCAATTTCTTAAAAAGTTAAACAGCCTTTCCACAAATAGATATTAGCCCAATATAAATGAAGGTATATTCATACAAAGGCATGTATGTGAATGCTCATAGCAACATTCTTTGTATAACTGAGAACTAGAAACACTCCAAACATGTATTAGTAGGTAAATGAATAAACAAATTGTGGTACATCCATTGGCTGGAATCATGCACAACAAGTTTTTAAAGTGAATTATTGGTAAATACAGCAAGAGTATAAGTGATTTTTTTCCAGTTCTAGGGCTTGAACTCAGGGTCTGAGGCTCTGTCCCTGAGCTTTTGGGCTTTAGACTCGTACTCTACCATTTTGAGCCACAACTCCACTTCTGGCTTTTTGGTAGCAAATAAGAATCTCACACACTTTCCTTCCTGGGCTGGCTTTGAACTGTGATGCTCAAATCTCAGCCTCCTGAGTAGCTAGAATTACAGATGTGAGCCACCAGTACCCAGCTTATAAGTGAATCTTAAAAGAATAGTGCTGAGTGAAAGAAGCCAGACAAGAAGCAGTACATCCTATATGACACAGTTCATACAGTGGTCTAGAAAATTCTAGCTAATCAGTGGTTACCTGGGGTAGGAGGTGGAGTGAAGAAAGACAAGAAGGATTATAGATAGCAGGAAGTAGCAGATATATTTGAAGCAGAAGATATATTAATCATCTCGATGTGATGATGGTTTTCAGGTATATGTTAAAACTTACCCAACATTACATTTTAAATATCTGTATTATTTGCATGTCAATTATACTTCAATAAAGTTGTTTTTAACTAGACATAATTTTTCTATAACATGAGTAATATAAAAATAATTAAAAGATAATTATAGGAGCTGGGCACTGGTGGCTCAATCTTATAATCCTTTGTATACAGGAGGAGGCTGAGATCTGAGGATTGCAGTTTGAAGCCAGCCTAGCAGGAAAGTCTATGAGACACTTTTTTTTTTTTTTTTGTCTGAGACCAGGACTCAAACATGGTATCTGAGGCTGGCACTCATTGACTGGCACTCTAAGACTTGAGCCACACCTCCAAATCCTCCTTCCCCCTACACATATACTTATAGCCAATCAATCACCAAAGCTATAAGTGGAGCTGTGGCTCAAATGATAGAACACTAACTTTGAGGGGAAAACAAATGAACAAACAAACTCAGGGACAGTACCCAAGCCCGGAGTTCAAGCCCCAGGTCCGGCACACACAAAAAAATATGAGATCTTTCTGACCTCAAGGTTATATTTCTCTGGAAGAGTTGCACAATTGGGGTCTAGATAATTCTGTTGTGAAGCACAGGTATCAAAGGAGACCTACAAACACAGCAGATAAAGGGAGATTGATGACCTGTAGGTGGCAGACATTGTGCTCCAGGTGACTTTGCCTGTGTCTTCCCCTCCCTCTAGCAATTCTGTGTGATAGATGGTAGTATCCTGTTTTACCGATGGGAAAGAAAAGTAAGGCTTAGAATAATCACATAACCTTCCCAAAGTCTTCTAGCTAACATTTAGCAGAGCAAGGATTAAATTCAGGCCTGTCTGGCTCTACCACCCCACCCCAGTATTTCCTTCTATACGGCCCTGCTGCTGGCCCTCTGCAGAGGACAAGCCCAGCTGGCTTCTCCCAGATTTCAGGGAGGAGAGGGTATTTGAAATGTGCCCTGAAAGTTAGATAGGGCATCCGTGGGTGTAAGCAAGCTGAAGAAATGTTTTCAGGCAGAGAGAATAGGCATTGTGGGAAGGAGCAGGCTCTTAGCTTTAAGGCTGTATGTGGAGGGGCAATGGGAGGGGGAGGAGATAGATGGACCAGGCCTCAGCAAAGAGATTTCAAAACTGCACAATTCTGGGGAGGGTGGAGAGCCATGGAAAGACTTTTATAGGCCCCAGTATCAGGAAATCTAATCTTTTTCATCTCAGTTTCCCTGCTCATGGCACACGTGTGTGTGTGATACACTGAATTTTGGCTCAACAAATTAATAAGGGAATGAATGATGTTTAAGGTATAATCATCTGGCTGAAAGAATAAGAGAGTAAATGATATTCAAGATCTAGTAATCATGTCCTCATTGTGGAGGGATGTCTTCACTAGAAAGTGTCTCTTTTGTTCTTTTTGACTTGCTTTGAATCTAGAATGGAGATACTTCATCTTGAATGAATTTTTTAAAAATGCGAGAGGAGGAAGGAAGGAGAGAGGAAGAGGAGAGAGGAAGAGGAGAGAGAGGAAAGGAAAAACAAAACCAAACACTGCCTTCCGGCCCCCTCTTGGACAACATTTTTGAGCTTTTGAGGGAAACAAAACACCAATTTTGTTTTTAGCCAGAACACTTCTGGGACAGAACCATCTGGGGCGATGAGAATGAAGTTTGAGCTTGCTACCCTTCCAACTGTCGTTCCTGACTCAAAGCTTTCTCTATGTTGTTGCAGGATGGAGGGCAAAGCTGAATACATTCTCCCTACAGAAACGAGATATGTTGGGGAAATGAAGGATGGCATGTTCCACGGCAAAGGAACCCTGTACTTTCCCAATGGGAGCCGATATGATTCCACCTGGGAAAAAGGATTGTCTTTAAAGGTGATCAGCTGGGGCTACAGAGGGGAGAATCACTGCCCTGGAGCCCTGCATCCCTTCCTTCCACTGGCTCTTGTCACCCGCATCTTGATCTCCTAGATTCTAGGATTAGGAACAGCCCTGGAGATGCCAGGAGTTCAAATCCTGTTATACAACTTGCTATCTAATCTTGACTCGAGTTCTCCAAGACTCATACTCTCATCTATAAACTGAAGACAATAGTCGTCTTAGTTACCTATTAAAACCATAAATGTAACTGCTCAGTAACAGTAGCTCACATCTATAATCCTAGCTACTCAGAAGGCTGGGATCTGGGGATCTTGGTTTGAAGCAAGCCTGGACAGACAAATCCAAGACTGTTATCTCCAATAAACCAGCAAATAGCTGGAAAGAACAGATGTTGCTTAAATGGTAGAGAGCCAGCCTGAAGCAAAAGAGCTTAAAGGACAACACCAAGACTGAGTTCAAGCCCCAGTACCAGCACCCTACACACACCCCCCCCACAAATATATAGTCAGTCTTAAATCAGCACAAATTTATTATCTTAACAGTACTGGAGGTTGGTCCACAGGTTCTGTTCCTTGTGGAGTCTCCCCAGGAGAATCTGTTTCCTTCACTTTTCCCAGGTGGTAGAAGCTGCCTATGTCCCTTGGCCCATGACCATGCACCATTCCAATCTCTGCTTCCTGCATCACACCATTTTCCCTCCCTGTTTTCCTCATCATCTTGTCTTCTCTCACACAGAACTTCCTACCTCCCTTTTATAAGGACCTTTGTGATTGCATTGGCTACACCCAGGTAACGTAGGATCTTTAACTTAATTGCACCTGCCTAGTCCCTTTTGCCATGCAGGTAATATATCACAGTTCCAGCCTATGTGGGCAACTTTGGGGTGGGGCATTATTCACACATACCCCCCACCAGCCTGAGTTGGTTTGACAGTAAGGAAGGCCTTACACATGAGCTCTTGGCCAAGTTCCTGGCACATAGTAGGCATTCAGTAAATGTTACTACCACCATCTCTACTGTTATCATTATAAATCATCTAATCCAAAGGTTCATATCCCAGAATTTGTAGACCATGAATAAAATTCAAGGATCAGTGAGATCTCCTGACTTTACATAAAAAGTCTATGTTATGTGGGATTATGATTTTTCTCTAGGAAAAAGATTATAGCTTTCTTCAATCTCACTAAGAATGTATTGGGCTTGACCCATGACCTAAAAAAAAAAGGCTAAGAAGCAGTTCTGGTTTTATGGCTTCGAGACTCTAAGCCCCAGGAAGGGGATGTGACTTGTCCAAGGTCACACTGTGAACTAATAGTATTGTGGGAATTTCCACCCATGTTTCCTGATGCACAAGCCAATGCAGTTCCTACATCCTGAGACTCCCTTTAGCACTAAAGCAGCAAAAGCAGAATGCACGTGTTTGGACAAAAGAGCCATGGTTAATGACTCTGACCTTCCTAGCTCTGATAATAAAAGTGTAAGAATAATGTCAATGGTGTCTATCTGTGTATGCTTGGTCTCCATAGAAACAGAACCAATCAGATATAGGTAGACACATAGAGCTTTATTTAGAAGAATTTGTTTTCTCACAGTAAGTTGTAAGCTGGATGCCCAGATATCGTTCTGGACCAAACATGAAGCCAAGAACCAGGGAAGGCAATAGTATAAGTCTAGATCAAAGTCCAAAGGTCTAACAAACAGGAACATTGATGGTAAGATCTGGAGAAAACAGATGCCCCAGGTCAAGCACAGAGCACAGAGTGGAGTGGTCCTCATTCTGCTTTTGTCCTATCCAGGCCCCAAGGGATTAGATGATACCTACCTGAGGCACTTAGAAATATTTTTTATCAGCTATCTGGGTATCCCTTAGCCCAATTAAGTTGCCACATTAAGAAAAAAAACTTTTTGGGGTCGGTTGTGGGGCTTGAACTCTGGGCTTGGGCACTGTCCCTGCACTCTTCCACTCAAAGCGAGCACTCTACTGCTTGAGCCACAGCGCCACTTCCAGTTTGCTGGTGATTTATTGGAGATAAGAGTCTCACGGCCTTTCCTGCCCCAGCTGGCTTTGAACCCCCAATCCCCAGATCTCAGCCTCCTGAGAAGATAGGATTACAGGAATGAGCCACCGGCGCCTGGCTTATTGCCACATAAAATTCACCATCACAGTATACTAAATTTTTTACATGTACCATCTCATTGAATTCTAGTCAACTGTATTAAAAACACAATACCCTTATCATTGCTGCACAAATGAGGAAACTAAGGACCAAGAGAGTAAGCAGGTTGTCTACCCAAGTTCACATCACAGAGAGTTGGCTTGTTCTAGTAGCAGTCTTATTTTTATATCCATTCCCTAGTCATCACAACCATAGCCATTGTGATAGGCCCCATAATTGTCCCCACAATAGCAGGTAACAGTGAGAAGCTACCTCTTCTCCTGATGCCGACCTTCTTGACAAAAAGGCTTCAGCTTCTACCAATGCGGGTGTGTTCCTTGTCTTCCAGGGAAATTATACTTTTGCTGATGGCCTGAAGTATGACGACAAACACTGGCATTACTGTGACAGTTATGACCGAAGGTTTTACACAGAGATCTGCTATGGCTTGAAGCCTTCAGGTATCCAGGCCTCCCCCTTCCCCACCTTTCGTTCATACCCAGACTGAAAGGAAACCAAAGGCAGTTTCAAATCAGTGCCTGGAGCTCACAGAAGGAAGCCAAAGGAGAAGGTGGAAATGAGCAGATGTAACAGAATACAGAAAAGCCAGTCCCCACATCTTAGATCCATTGTACTAGCCGGGGAACTGTGGGCAAGGGAATTTACACTCCATTTCAACCCTTCAAAAGGGGGTAAGGAAATGGAGATGTGGTACAAATGATAGAGCACCAGCGCTGAGTAGAAACAACAAGCAAGAACACAAGGCCTGGAGTTCGAGCCCCAGTACAGGCACACCCAAAAAATTAACCAGTGGCTCACACCTGTAATCCTAGCTACTCAGGAGGCTGAGATCTAAGGATCACAATTCAAAGCCAGCCAAGGTAGGAAAGTCTCTAAGAATCTTATCTCCAATTAATCACTGAAAAGCTGAAAGTAGAACTGTGACTCTAGTAGCAATAGAACTCCAGCCTTGAGCAAAAAAGCTAAAGGACAGTTCCCAGGCCTTGGGTTTAGGCCCCAGTGCCAGCACAAACAAACAAAAACCATCTACTTCTCAATATCATTATCAGTAAGATAATTTACTTCAAGTGCTGGTAGCAGGCACAAAGTATTTGATGGCTGTGCTTGTGTAAGTGACTAGAATCCTAAAAATACACAGGCACTTGAGAAAGAGGAGTGGGAAGAAGAAGGAGGGAGAGAGAGAGAGAGAGAGAGAGAGAGAGAAACAGAAGCATGGGTGGAACATGTTAGGCTTTTAAAAAGAGCGCACATGGTATTCAGGTAAGGGGTAGGTTTGTTCAGTAGACCTGCTGGGACCAGGCAAGGTTGGCACTCCACGTGGGTGGGAAAGGCCTGGGAAAGAGAGAGAGAGCTGGGAAATAGAGAGGAAAGAGCTAGAAAAGAGCAGAGAGAGCATCTGGGCCTGGGCTAGGCCTTATCTAGGATATGGGCGGAGAAAGGTGTGGCCACATCAAATTCAGATGTGACCTCAGCCTGATGCAGATATGACCTCTTCCAGGTGTCCCAGTTGCCTAGGTAACACAGGTGCTGGGTGGAGACTTTGCTGAGAGGAGGGTGGAGTCTCCTAGCCATCCAGGAGCGGACCTTACACTCACATGGGTGTCTGTCCACCCATGCTTTCACTAAAGCAGAGCCTCTCGAAGCAGCGTGATGGGATTTCCTGTACAGTCTGGCCTTGCATCTCTGAGAGGAACATGGGCCTGAGGCTTCAGTGAGAGAATGGTTAGTAAGCACTTGGCCTGGAAGAAGTACCTGGTAATCATTAGCCAATATACACCAGGAAAGTTAGGTATCAGGGTTAGAGAACCTACTGCTCAGGATGCTGAGCAGTGAGCATGGCACCACCTGCTCTATGGAAATCAGTGTTCCAGCTGAAGAACAGGGAATGATCACATCTCTGACTGAAAAGAACTTGAGACGTTGTTTATTCCAGCTTCTCCCTTTACTCAGGGAACGAGCATTCCAAGATACACACATGGGGTACATGACCAAAAAGGTGCACTGATTCATAAGACGTTGTTTATTCCAGCTTCTCCCTTTACTCAGGGAATGAGCATTCCAAGATACACACATGGGGTACATGACCAAAAAGGTGCACTGATTCATTCCCCTTTCCTTGGAGAAGGAGTCCCAGAGTCCCTGTCTTGGGGCTGAACTCAGACCCTCTCCCCCACTGATGTGGGTACTTAGCACACAGGTCCCAGAGCCTGGTTCCTAGCTGGATAATATGGAACAAGTTATCTGACCGCTCTGAGCAGAGCAACTTGCTATAAAATGGAGCCTCAAGGTTGTTCTAAGGAAGAGCATAATGCCTGGCCCATAATAAACTCGTAATAAATGGCATGCGCTTTGGTCATTTTGGAGAGAATCAAGGGTTCCTCACCACGTCTCTATCACCTGACCATTTCTTTTTTATGTTCTTCCTTATCTGGTCTCTGCTTCATAGGATTCCTGGGGGAGACAGCAGGGCACACATCTATTAGCCATTGCTATGCTTTGGATGATGTCATTGACCTGGACATGTTCTGCAAATCACCTGGCCAACCTGGACTCTCCCTCTGGGTTTCACTGACCCTAGAACCTATGCCCTTTGTCATGGTGTCCCAAGAAATGGGGAAGAAGATAAGGTCTGCAGTGCTCACAGATGCACTTTTAGACAGCTCTTCTATGGATCCTCTCTTTTTCACTGAGCAGGGAGTGTGTTGTCCATCAGGGAAGCCAGACAGTCATATTAGCAGCCAGCCAAAGGTTGACCTGCAATGAGCACTGAGTTTGGATGTAGCCTTGGAGGTGAACTAATTGTCCATTATGCCCTTTCAAGGTATCTCTCAACTCACCAACATGGACCCACCCAGAAAAATCCCTGTCGGCAATTATGATTGTGGAGATGGCTTCTACAACCCCATCACAAGGATTGTCAGGGACTACAGGGGCCGCTTCCTGAGAAACGCAGGTAAGGTCTCACCTCACCTGACCCATGTGAAAAAGACTGTGCATGTGCACATGCTCATGTATGTACCTGCTGAGAAAGAGGCCTGTGCAAGTAAGACACAAGTTGGTTATCTGTGTGTTTCACTATTTAGGCTTCAAGCCTGCCAAAGGCCACAGAGTAAAGTCAAGGACATTCACAGTCTCACTGTGATACTCATACTTACTTTTTCATGCATTCTCCCATTAGGATTTAATGGACCCTCTACTGTATTCTAGAATCTATGCTTGACACTAGGGGTAAAAGAGCAAAGCTAGACACAGGCTCCTACTCCCAGTGCTCACTACCCTAACTTTTCCCTTTCCTGGACTCCCCATCACCCTACTAGGGTACCAATAGCCATGCATCTTCTTCCCAGAAAAATATACATACACAAGTACATGTGTGTCACACACACTTCACTTTGTTTGCACATAGTCTTTTTTAATATAATTTATCGTTATTATTAAGGTGCTGTACAGAGGGGTTACCATGTCATAGGTAATGAGTATGTTTCTCTTTTGGACAATGGCACCCCTTCCTTTCCTTTCTTCCAGTTTCCCCCTGCACATAATCTTTTTTTTTGGGGGGGTCTGGTCGTGGGGCCTGAACTCTGGGCCTGGGTGCTGTCCCTCAGCTCTTCAGCTCAAGGCTAGCACTCTACCACTAGAGCCAGAGCGCCACTTCCGACTTTTTTCTTTTTTTGCTTATGTGGTGCTGAGGAATCGAACCCAGGGCCTCGAGCATGCAAGGCAAGCGCTCTACCACTGAGCCACCTTCCCAGCCCCTGCACATAATCTTAAATGATCAATGGAGCCTATAAAGGTTCAGGTCAAGAAACTGCAATCAGAAGAAAACTGCCAAGTAGACTGGGATGGCTGTAGTAGCTGTGGAGAAATATTGTCCCCCTCCAGGGAACTTACTTGGTCCGTCAATGAGAATCAGAAAGCCACCTTTTAGCCCAGCACTTGTGGCTCATCTTTATCACTTAGGTACTCAGAAGGTTGAGATCTAGGATCATATTTCAAAGCCAACCCTGGGGCAGACAAATCCAAGAGACTTCTCTCCCACTCACAAGCCAAAATCTGGAACTGGAGGTGTGGCTCAAATGGCACAGAGTGCCAGCATGAGCAAAAATGTTGAGGGAGAGTGTGAGGCCGCAAGTTAAGCCCCAGTACCAACACACACAAAAAGAAAAAGTAAAGCAAAGCAAGTCATCTTGTGGCCTGGCACAAGTGGGACTATTACAGGCACATGTAAACACTGGTCCACGTGGCTTGGCTCATGTAGAAAGCTGCTCTGTAGAACACTCATTCTGCTGGGTGTTCACCGGCTCACTGTAAAGTTTCTTGATCAAACAAGCTAAGGAGATGTCACATCAAATCATGCAAAACAGGTCTATTTACCAAAGGGTTTCTAAGGGCAGGGCCCTTACCCTGCTAATATGCTTTGGACATGTCATTTGTGGCTCTTAGTTCCACTGTAGTTAAACACCCATTTCTGCCATTACTTGTTTAACATCTGTCTTTCCCACTAGTCTGTCATGTCCATGTGAGAAGGGACTATATCTTGTCTCCACCTGGGGCTGTCAGAGGCCAGTCCCAGTGAGGACAACAGAAAGAGCTGCCTATGAGCTCAGCTAAATGGGCCTTAGAGAAATGCCCCTGCTGAGCAACACCGACGGGAGCCACAAGCTCCCTGGCAGCCATTAACAGGTGCCAGCGGGCAAAGCAGGCATGTGCTCCACTTAGTTCTGATCTCCACACAGCAGGGCATGGCGCAAAGGTCCTGGTGGGGCTGTCCAAGCTTCCACCTGGCCTAGCCCATGCTTCTCATGCTCAGAATGCTTTTCTAAAAGAACATACCTGCCAAATCCAAGTTGTTGGACCTACATTTTAGAAGATTCCTTGCTAAATGAATGTGAGGGGGGAAAAAATTTCCCCACTATGTGAATCAGGCTGGCCTCAAATTCTTGTGCTCAAGCAAGTGTGTGTGTGTGTGTGTGTGTGTGTGTGTGTGTGTGTGTGTGTATTCTGGTTCTGGGGTTTGAATTCAAGTCCTGGGTGGTGCCCCTAAGCTTTTTTGCTCAAGGCTGGCACTCTACAGCCTCACTTCTGGTATTTGGTGGTTCATTGGAGATAGTCTCATGGACTTTCCTGCTCAAGCTGGTTTTGACCCTTAATCTTCAGATTCCAGCCTTCTGAATAGCCAGGATCACAGGCATGAGTCACTGGTGCCCAGCTGCCTTGCCTTGAATAACTAGGGTTACAAGAATGTGCCAATGCACTAGGCTTGCTGTGAGAATTTACATCCATCCTTCTACTCATTACCAAGGTTTTGAACATTTACACAATGTGCCATGGGACTTGGGCAGACATATTATCTGAGAATGGGTGTCACGCCTTTAGCTAATAGGAATATTTTACATCAGGACCTCATGTACATGTAAGCATATACAGATGTGTATCCACGTACTATGGTATTTCCTATTCTGACCATTGTTTAAGTGCTGGTTGCCACACACTAAGTGGATTTCACAATTTTCATAAGAATCTGGATCAGCCATTGGTAGAATCCTGCATAGACGCAGCCTTCTCTGAGCCACCTCTCACCCTCCACTGCACTAGACTCCCTCCACCAACAGCACTTAGCAGGTGACAGTGGAGGAGCTGCCTGAGACCACGTGACTGTCTGGCTCCTCACTGCCCCCCCCCCCCGGCATCTCACACAGGTCCACCACGTCGCAGCTGATTATGTTTGTAAAAGAAAAAGTGGGCAGGCAGGCAGAGCACCTGCTTGCAAGTTCTCCATCATCTTTTACCTGATGGCTCAAACTTCAATACCTGGCACACAATAAACAACTGGGAATGGGCAAACTAATGATGAGAACAGCAGGCCAGCCTCAGCGTGGTGGGTGACAGCCTGGTGACGGTGACACTGGCTCTCACACCCATTCCAGTTTCACTACAAGTCCAGCTATCTTTCCAATCCACCTTACTGCTTCCCATGTTGAAGTCACAAAGACACAATGCCGATGTGTCTCTGATTATATAAAATAATTTTTATCAAAATGAACTCTGAAAAATGGAAACAAGAGATGTTTTTCTCTTTTTTGTTTTCTTCTTTTTGTCTTGCCTGTTCATCTGTCTTTAGGAGCGTAAGGGGAGGTGCAGAAATGGGCAAAGGGTGAACAAATGCAACAATGGTACTCACTGGACATTAAGTTGAAAATGACCTATACAACTTGTGGGTGGGGAAGGAAGGGGAAAAGTGGGAGAGAAATAGGGAAGGGCTGACATTGTCCAAAAAGAAAAGTACTCTTTACCTGACCTATATAACTGTAATGCCTCTGTACATCACCTTTCTAATAACAGACACAGCTAGTGTATATTCTAAGCACCACAGCACACATAAAACAGAGACTGGTTTAGAATCTTCTGCCCCACAGGAGGCTAGAGAAGTAGAAGAGGTTAGAGAGATGGCTTGTGGTGATTGAAAGCTCAGGGCCTGGAACCCATACCTCTGACTGGCCTCTAATTCTGGATCCACCTCAGACTAGCTGTGTGATTATGGGTAGGTTACATTTCTTTTCAGAGCCCCAGTTTCCTCATCTGTTAAATGAACATTAAAGTAATTCCTATTTGGAGGATAGGGAAATAAATTAGAAAAAATGAGGTCAGGAATGCATTTAATACATAACCCAGCACCTGGCCCAAACAGGCACTCAGTGACTGATAGTCACTTATTCAAGCTGGAAGAAAGAGCAGTGAGGTGGGCCACTGACAACTGTGAAACTTCCTCTGGGTCCTGGAAAGCAGAGAGGTCTTCAGAAAGATAAATGGGATTGGATGTGCTGGACTTTCTGCTCATCAGGGTTTTGCTTGGTAAATGAAATGCTACAGGGAATTTGGGGGCTGCTGGCTCTTGGATGGCTTTTGGAGTCCCAGTCTAGCTTTGATGGTCCACTCTCCCTTCTCTTGTCTTGTCTACCTCCTGTTCTAGTCCATCTGGGCTAACTGCCATCTGTTGGTAAACACAGCCAGCACTTTGTACTCTCTAATGTCACCCCACATGTTTCAAGCACAGACTGACCTTCTTTCCTTTCTCTGCCCATCACAGTATGCCTCATCTCTCAATGCCTAGCACAAAACAGGAGGCCACAAGTCTTTGCCTGTAATCACTGAAGTCCACCTGTACACCTACAGCTCAGGGAGACAAGGCTGGGGGAAGAATGCCCACTGGGGAGGAGTCTTGAGAGGTGCCAGCTTATCTCATCTACTCTTTCCAAGTGTGTAATTTGTGTGAGCCACTATTTGCACCATGATAACCTGGTTTCGGAGAGATTACTTGTTCGTAATGAGTGACAAAATTAGATTCCAACTTGAGTATTGCCTCAGTCCATTGCTATGATGTGAATAGGGGTAGCATCCACCTTAGGACCACATATTAAAGATTTGGTCCTCAGACAGTACTGTTGGGAGTTACTATGGTCCTTGATCAGAAGGTGAGACAAAGGATAGGGTGGAGGGGATGGGAGGTCTTTAGGTCATTGTGAGCATGTGTTCTAAGGGGACTGTGGAACTTTGGTCTCTCTCAGTCTCTTTGCTTGGTTTTCTGGCTATGATGTAACAGTTTTCTCTGTCTTGTGTTCCTACCATGGTGTACAGACCCCACCAGAGGCCCAAAGCCATGAGGCTGTCAGTCCTGCTCTAGAACTTTCAGAACCAGAACTGAATAAGTCTTTCTAGTTTATAAGTTAATTTTCTCAAGTTTTTTGTTACAGTAATTGGAAGCTGACTAATGCAATGCACAGTTCTTACCATTCTTCTTGTCAGTTTTATATACCAGTTTATCTTGTACTTGTAGCTCTCCTCTCCTAGACTGGGGTGGGCAATCTGATTCATTGTTGTCCTTCTACCAAGCACAGCTCCTGGTACCCAGCAGAAGCTCAGCAAGCTTCCCAAATCAACCAGGGCCTACTTTAC